TATTTAGACGAGCGCACCCAGAAGGAGAAAGGGAACAGCCCCTTGAAATTGATTTCGATCGCGTTGAAAACGGGACGTTTCACTCGTGGAAAGTTGATGGTATTTTCTCTAGATGAAATTGCTTTCGAATTAATCTGTTAACCAGGCCTCTGATCACGAGCCTCTATAATTAAAAGTTACAACGACAAGTCAGTTTCGATCGAGTTTGCAAATGTAATGTCAAAATCATATAATTTATCTGTAAGAAAATTACATATTAATGACACTAATGAACTAATGTTTAAAGAGATGCTGATGCAAAATGACGGATCATCTCGGTCCTCGCCGGTTAACGGATTAATGATCGCAGACTCGCGAGGAATTGGTCGATGTATCGTTTTTCTTTTTCTGTTTTCCTTTCTTTTTTTTTTCGAATTCCTTCCTTTGCGTGTACGCCATAGGAATTGCAACGAGAGAGAATGAAAGCGTGAAGGAGAGTGCAAGGTAGAGACGAAATGGGACGAATTAACCGAATCGAAGTGCAATTTCAAGGCTCTCTCGGAGGTACCTCTTCCTTTTCTCTGTGTCGATCAGAGGATGTCGAGGAAGGTGCAAAGTTTTAGAGGCATTAGCGAACTTTTTTTAATCAAAAAAGAAAAGGGAAAAAAAAGAATTACTTAAGTATTATAATAGAGAGAACAAGATCGAAAAGGTATATATATTCTCTACGCGACTTGATGTCTCCTCTTCTTCGTTGATGACGTCGATCGAGAGAGTCGCTCTCTTAGTCGACGGTGGAATTTTTAAGTGCAATAATTTTAAGGATTCGTCGAGTAATCGGAACACGCGATTGTTTGTTGTTAATTGGCGAGAGAAATATTTATGCGAGCAATTAGTTTGATCGATCGATCGCTTGGTTTCTTCCACGGCCTACTATGCGATGATTTTCACGCGTAGACTTTCATTGCGCGTCTTGGATTGTATAATTTTTAGCGACGTATTATGATATTCTTGTTCTTTACCTTTCACGTGTAACAATTTATTACGATCATATTACAAACGATAAATAAAAAGGGCACATCCTGAAATGAAGATACATGTACGTTGTGAATTGCGAAGCGTGATTGAAGGTTGGAGAATCTGGAAAAATTATTCTGTGATGAAAGAAAGAGAAAAGCAGTGCTGCAATCTATCCGCCGAGTGTTCTCGCGGTTTCGTTTCGTCAACGATAATCGGTCTTTGGAATCCTTCCTGTTCGAAGACTCTTTTTTTCGGGACCGTGATAATAGACACAATGCACGCGTTCATCCACCTTTCTCATTAATCCATCACACGCCTTTCATCCGGCACGACTTTTTTTTGTTCACCACTTATTTTGCTTTCTTCCAATCTAAAATCGACGCAGGAGATTCAAGCGAGCTGTACGGACGTGTGCGAGAGCTGCGAAAAGAAAGTGTACCCCCTAGAAAAAGTGGAGACAAATAACAAAATATTTCACAAACAGTGCTTCCGGTGTCTGCAGTGCAATTGCGTGCTAAGGTAACGTTTGCAATCTTCTGAAAGCTGAAACTTACTCTCTTTCCTCCTCCTCCTCCTCCTCGTCCCTTCTCTTTCTCTTTTCTCTTTCTTAAATAGAAATATCCATAGATCCATCTGTATATGATTTTCGATCTTTTGAAAAGACGAAGAAAACTCGTGCTCTTCGATGTCTAGAATCGCACTTTATGATACTTCAACAGTGATAGAAAGAAATAAACGATCGTTTTCTTTTCCCCCAAACAGGATGGACACGTTCACCTTAAATAATGGTAAACTATACTGCATCCCGCACTTCAAACAGCTGTTCATCACACGAGGGAACTACGACGAAGGTTTCGGCGTGGATCCACACAAAAACAAATGGACGACCAGCTCGAGCAATCCGACGAGTCCGTCACCAATCATCGCGGTGTCGAACGGCGATCTTTGATTTCTCGCAGATTCCCGCGTGTTGTAATTAGAAAGAGGAAAGAAAGAAAGAAAGAAAGAAAGAAAGAAAGAAAAAAGAAAGAAAGAAAGAAAACGAAAGCTCCCGTTGGCTATAAAAATTATGCGAATGAAGCACGATCCGAATTGGTCGGGCAGTAGAAAGAGAAAGATCCATGGATACTTGAATTTTCCAAAGACAACTGCCGGATCGCCCGCTTACGAATCGGTCGAATCGTTTTTAGATTCCCTCTCGAATTCTGTAATCTAATCGCGTTCATAATCTAATCCTGATCATATTATTAATTGACAAATTGGCTCACGACGAGCATTTCATCTCGTCTGTCGTCCCTCTATATTCCCTTGCTGTCATTTTTAAGTATTTTATTTCTTAGACCTCTAGACACCCTTATTTGCCAATGCCCTATTTTGAATTTCGCTTAAATATTTGTTACAATTTATTATTATTATTATTATTATTATTATTATTAATATTATTATTTTCTACTTGTATAACTCTTGGTATTATTTTATTACATGTTGTATAATACAGAAGTTCATTGCGCTTTATAAATTGTCGTGTCGTGTATTTATTCACCTTCTTCAAACAGTTTTTTTTTTTTTTTCCGTCCATCTTTTCATTAACAAACAAACGAGGATTCTCAAAGTTCATTTCAGAGAGGGAGTGAAAATTTCGATGAGATGCAAGAGGCAATTGCAAGGTAGTAAAAGGAAATCAAAGGAATTGTGTAACAGGAATTGGTACTTGGAAGAAATTAAATTAAATTAAATTAAATTCTAAAAAAAGAAATTCAAGTGACCTCGAGTGACGTTTCCTATGTATGTATAATTTGCTAATCAGCACTTTTTGCCGATATAAAGAAATTGTGTGTTATCGTTATATTTACCACGGACCACGATTCGTCCGCTCTTTTGAGTTCCAACTGTTCGAGACTGTTTACTATTATTATCTCAGTCCGCTGACCCGCGAGTCTGTTTATATTATGGATTAAAGGTATGATCTACCGTTCGACTTTCACGGGCCATATTAGGACAATAAATTAACGGCCCATACTTTAAACGTGATTGGTTATCGTCTTGCCTGGCCAACTATAAAATAGGAGAATCTAGTTATAGTTAGTGAAAACGCTAATCAGTCGAGGAAGGAAGTTGGTCAAAGAGTACGTCACAGTGAATGTAAGTAAGTGTTAATTACAATTGAAATATAATTAAGCCTTCGGGGGAAAGACGAAGCCATCACGTCGTTGTAGAAACCAGAAGGCTGGTTCTCTAAATTAAAGTCGGTAATTCAAGTTGAAAAGATTCGTTTCATTTCTCACAGCAGTGGGTGATCCTTCGGGAAGCACAGATATATTCAAGGTACACGACTGACCACAGAAACCATTTGATTCCGATATTAAGACAGTTGAAAATCCTAAGATGTAGGAAATCTTATTTAATTTTATTTTGAAAAAGTGATAAAATATTTCAATTACTAAAGACGAACTGATTCCCTGATTAATATTAATATTTCGTTGATATTCTATTGATATTTCAAGCAAAAATTTCAAGAAAATTTGAAGTCGAGGTAAACAGATATTTCGATTACTTATCTAACTAAATCTCTTGTAAGTACTTGTTTTTTTTTTTTTTTTTTTTT